TTTAATCATCGCTGTTCTCAAAGTCCATATTTGCACAAACGATGTGACCAAATGATGTTTTTGTCGACTGTTTATAGAAAGTGGGGAGCCCGAAGTCTTCAAAAGTTTCAGGTAAAAATCCATAATATTCAACTATGGAGGATGGAAACCTCATGTTATAATTTATTGCTGAAGAATAGTTTGCCATTAGAATGAGGACGTTGAGAGGCAGAAAGTATACGAAAAGATAAAAATAACTAGATTCATTTTTCCTTGAGTATATTCTCTAGTCACGCATAGAGGGTGTGCAAACGTGGAATGTTAGCTGGAAGTTTCACTCCTACATGTCAACTACCAGTCGGTTTTGCTTTTTCATCATTGCCTAATGATTCTGCTGTATGAGAAGCAGGAAGTAGATTTTTTATTACATGATATATTTCTTCTTTTCTTCAGCAACTGATAGAAGGCAAGTATTAAAGACGAAAGAGCACAAAGGGATGCAAAACCGTGTAACAAAGAATAAAGGCTGATAGTTTCGAAAGAAACTGTTTGGGGCTGCGTGGGTGGGAGTAACGAAATAATTTGGATATATCAACAAAGTTGAAATGGTAAATTAGCCACCGTAATGATTACAAAAGCTGACGTTTCGAGCGTTAGCCCTTCGTCGGAGCGAAGTGATACATGTAACCGCTCAAATTAAAAACAGTGACTGCTTTTTAAGCTGTATGGAAAAATGAGAGCGACCAAAACGAGATTGATTTCAGTTTTGCATCTGCTCNTGTCAACTACTAGTCGGTTTTGCTTTTTCGTCATTGTTTAATGATTCTGTTGTATGAGAAGTAGGAAGTAGATTTTTTGTTACATGATATATTTCTTCTTTTCTTCAGCAACTGATAGAAGGCAAGTATGAAAGACGGAAGGGCACAAAGGTATGGAAAAACGTGTAACAAAGATTTTAGAACTTCGGTATAATCTTTCAAAACCTACGTTGTGAAATGTCATATGTGCCGTTTCCTTTTTTTCCTTCTGACACAAACCTGTCTTGAGGAAGAGGAAAGAACAAGTTAAAAGACGCGCATACTCCGGCTGAGGACTTTCCCGCGAAAAGAGTTCGCAAAAAGATTGCTATCAGGTACTTCAACTTTACCTGAAGCAAGAACAAATCATGGCATGTTCAATATAAGATTTAAAGGTCCTACAGTATGGAAGTCTATGAGTGAAAAGTCTTTCAAAATATAAGGAATCAGTAAAATACGATCTCGTTTTGAATTATTATCAGAGATATGTATTTATATCATCTTAGATTGCAATTCTGTCTTTTCCCAAATTATCTGCATGGTTAATTATTTGTTCGTTAAATTCTGTCGACCTTTGTAGGCCTTGATATAAATTATTTTGTATAATATGTATTTGATGCTATAATGTTGTTGCTGATCAGTAATTTATTTTTATTCAATGTTGTTGTCTACTGAGTACCTGGCTCCGCTAGTCCCTATGGTTATTCCAGATAGCCAATACTCTTTTTATTTTCAATATTGTTTTTTAACTTGACAAAAACACGAGTGGAAATAATGATTGTTATTGTTGTTGTTGTTGTTGTTGATAGGGAATGAAGATACTGAACGTTTATGCAGGTGGAGATGGCCAAGATCTTTCTTAACTCGATATTGCGTTTAATTAAAACCTATCGTGTGACACGAGAATGGCAACATCGTTACTACCCACTGAGGGGAATAAGGCCCTGGTCAAACGCCGTACTTCACATGAGCCGAACCTAATTCAACCAATTAGGCTCATGTGAAGTTCGGCGTTTGACCCAATTAAGTTCGACTAATTTTATTTGGAGCGGCTGAGGCGTTCTTCGCGCCTGGCCAGCCGTGAAGAACGCCTGAAGAATGACTTTGGGTCAAACGCCGATCTTCGCATGAGTCGAACCGAACGCATAATTAAACGATAATCAAAGTTAAGTCATGTTAAGGTATGAATTAGCCTTAAATGTATGAATGAGCCTCTTTCACAGTCTTTTTCCAACATGGCTGCCTATCGCGCTGGTGTTGAAGATGATGAAGATTCTTGTATGTCGTGTTTGACGACGAAATATCGCTGCCTTCGTTGTAAAGAGCCGTTGTGCCGCAAATGCTCACTTCCAGAAGAAAACGACGATATTCCAGGCTGGAAAGCTGGAAAGTTTGTTGCATATTTTGTGCCTTGCTCGAAAGAAGCCTTCGAGCAAGGCACACAGCGCTCAACACATGCTGTCGGAGGAAATGGCGGGAAGGGAAAGAAGTCACGAAAAAGGCGCCATTTTGACTTTACCTTGAAATACAATTGACTAACAAGACCGCTTATGTTATTTGTTTAGTCTAGCAGTTCGGTTCGACTGAATTAAGTTCGACGTTCCACTCAAACAGGCGTTCTTAATTATTTGAGTCGACCAAACTGTCATTAGGTTCGGCTCATGTGAAGTACGGCGTTTGACCTGGGCCTTAAAGTTCACCACTAAATTTTATCCGATTCGGACTGGTTTATATTGGTCACGAGACGCGATAGTGTTAATCCGTGGAGAGACACTAACGGCCCATAGTGCCCGTCCGCGGAAAATGATGAAAAAATTTGAATGGTTTGACGGCCGGGTAGTTAGAGGGTCCCCAATATGTTTTTCGGGATCCGGGATTTGGCTTATTTGAAGGCCGGGATTCGAGATTTTGAAGAAAAAGGGGGGACGAGATTCGGGATTGTATTTATGACCGGGACACGGGATTTGGCGATTTTAAAAGGCGGGAATCGTGAAATGTCGCTTTAAAGAAACCGTGCTTCGGGAATTCCAGAGTCTGAATATATGCAAAGAAAATTGACACCTAGTTGACATCCACGTTTTCCACGACCCTATCACGCTGCTCTCTGACCCCCATGGGGATCTGTGGTCTATTTTCCTGAACCTTAGACGCCTTGGCCGTAAAGAGAATCCAATTTGACAATGTCTTTGTGATCTTTGTTATTTTTTGACCGTGATATTTCTAGTGTCAAGTTCTTACAGATCCTGATCGGTGCGCGTGGGATGTTCGACGCGAGGGAGACTAGCTAAGTTATCGTTTGCGTAGTTTAACGCGCCCTAACGATGTCGGTTAACACCGAAAATGATGTTGTCGATGTTATTAGCTGCGTATCATTATTTAACTGTAGGTGACCAAAGCGGACTAGAAGAGTTTGTATGGATTTAAAATTCAAACTAATCTCTGTTTTTCCTTTGAAAGATACAATACAGTAGCGCGTACTCTTTATACGCGTCAAAATCGATCAAATGGCTTACAGAAGCGTTTCGGCGACATAAAAAGGACACCACTTAGAGAGTTTCGAACTTTATCGCAGCTTTTCAAAGGAAAACAGAAATAGTTTTCGTTCGAAGTTGAAGTCCATACAGGCTCTTATTTCAACCTCTTCTAGAACACTTTGGTTACCGGTGATTACGGCATTTTGAGCAGGAACATGTAGCACTTATGGAATGGCAACTTCCATAATCCCTGTTATTCTCACTTGTTAGTCTCGTCTTTCCATCAAAGTACAACTTCACCATTTTGTGTACAGTGTATGTTTGTCCTAAAAGGTCTTACGTACGAGCAAGAACCTTGGATAGCGTCACTGAAAGTGACGTTATGGACTTCTAAAGAAAGAAGATTGATAATATCCAGGATTAAACCAGTAGCTTGCTTTAAATTTGAATTCAGACTTGTATTTGATTTGCATTGTTCCCTGTTCTTATTTTCAAACAAACGTTTTTGGTAGTTATGAGTAAAAATCAATTCTTTGTTAAAAGGCGACCTTATAACTAGATAAATAATTTTGAATTGTGACCAAGAATATTTCTCTGTTCTAGTTGGTACTATTTCTCTATTCTAGTTGGCACTTTTAGGAAGACAATAAATTATAATTGAAATTTTCAAGACCACAAATACTTTTTTGCGATCACCGCAAAGTTTTTCTGCAGTGAAAATTAACGTAAGTAAATTGTCGAGCTACACTTCATGCCTTAATTTGTTCACCTGTTTAAAGGCAAACGACAGATCGCATTGTGTTTACGAGAGTGTTATGGTTTATCTCGCAAACGTAATTTTAAATATCACACTTCATATCGGACTTCACTTTATGTTTTAAATATCACAAGAAAGAAAATGGTAAAGGGGTTTCTTGTAAACGTCTTATTTGGAGTTATAATTCTTATAGCTGGTATGTTGATTCCATTCTAAGTGATTAGTAATATATAGCTGCATTTTATTTTAAAATGATTTTTAAATGATTATGATTTTTAAATCATATTTCAATTTCATGATTTGTGTACATCATGCATGAGAATTGAAAAAGACAATTTCCACTTACTCTTCATTATCTTAGGGTTTTGATCCGACATCAGAAATTCGGATTTTCTATCACTTGATGGACATATTTTTTGTTACAGATGGGAACAGCTCTCAAAATCAGAGTCTTTTATGAGCTCGTGAATATTCAGTACATGTACCCTTAATTCTATGCTTTATTGAATAATTGGCTGATAGACGTTTAACGCTGCATGTGCAATATCTACAGTTTTGGTTAAACGCCCGTGCATCAAAGCCATTCAGCTGTTTGAAGGTGATATGATAATCACCACAGCACAGCGAGAGGCCGCCCAGCAAGGACAAGATCTTGATTCGTCAGCCGTCGTTCGAGGAGCCTCAAAAGATTTTCTTTGGCCTAGCGGGATCGTGCATTATTCAATCGAACAGCAGCTAAGTAATTTCTTGAATACATCAGTCAATGAACTTTTTTAAAAATGAATAATACGCTCGCAGTTTTACATATCCTCGTGAATGAAAACTCAGTTTTCAGTCAGACATCTTAGGAAAAGTTAAAGTAAACATTATCTCTATTATAGTGCAAGTGTAACTTCCGCCTGCTAACATCTATCTCTGATTATTGCATGCGTCTTTACAAGAGACAAATCATGCGCATAATAATAAGGAGTAATAACTGATTGAAACCACCGTATTTGACAAAAACCTGTGGCATGGATACTGAATCATGCTAGTTACACAATATGATTTTAATTTTTTTTCCAGTACCTGGTGGTACATAGGAAAAGTTTTTGCGTGACCAGATAACTATGGTTGCTATTTACCAAATTTATCAGAGGAAGATCCTTTATCCTTGGAGGCGATCGTAAACGGTATGAAACAGTGGAGTAGTACAACGTGTATCACATTTAAAGAAAGGACGGACGAGAAAGCCTTTATTTACTTCTTCGTCGGAGGAAGGTGCTTGCAATAATTTTT